CACACACACACACACACACACACACACACACACACACACACACACACACACACACACACACACACAGGTCCGTTTATGCAGAAACAGATTTAATGTAAGGCTTGGCTCTCTGTTTCTGAGCAGGGGAGAGAGGAAAAAGCTGGTCTGGACCGACAGGAAACCATGAGAGGAGCTGGAAGCTGAGTCCACCTTCAGCATCTGGTCCTCCATGGTGTCTGTGAGCGTTTTCTCACAAGCACCCCCCTCCCCCTCTGCCGATATAGTAAACAGCTCTATGATACACTGAATTAACAACAGAGACCCTAGGGAAATCAGGTCTCCTAACAATAAATTAGCAGCCCCCACCCACTCCCTGTGATTCTTATAGCTCAGAAACACAGTTATTGTTAAACCATGTTTGCTAGACTTCATGTGTTCACACAAGTCCTGATTTCAGCTGTGATTACAAATGTTTTCCCTTTCTATTCAGTTCAGGTCATGTCTGCAGCAACATTTCACAACCAAAGTCATCTTAGTTCAGAAACATTTACATACATCATACATCACACAATGCCATTYAGTAAAATATATGTCACTGAGGACGCCAACAGACTGTGCTGAATCTTCACTTTGTCAGTCTCTCATCCTCTGAAGCAAACTGGTGACAGTGGAGAGGAAAAACTCCCTGCTAATCAGGAAGAAASSTCCAGCAGAACCAGGCTCAGGACAGGAGACCATCTGCCTCGACCGGCTGCTTGGAGGACAGGAAAGAGACACAGACAAACATAGAAGAACTGGTCCAGGACTGGTCCARGTGTATTTTCTATGGGAAGAAAGACAAAGAAAAACATGTTAATGACAAAATTGTTACAAATACTGAAAACAGCAGCAGAGTGAGAAATTGTGGTCAGTTTGTTTTCCATGGGGCTAGGCCTATAGCAAAAACAACTAAGGGATAACTCACAGAACCCAAGTCTACCCCTAACTACAGGATTTATTTAAAAAAGAAAAACTTGAGTCTAGTCTTTAAAATAAACATAAACACCACACAGACAGGAAATGAAAGATGGCTCCACAAGAGAGGAGCCAGATAACTGAAGATTCTCCCTCTTCTTTTACATTTGAAGCTGATAGTTGTGTTTCAGTGTTGTGCAGGACTCTGTCGAGTATGCAAACCTGAGCAAACAGTGTAGGTGTTTATACTCGACACTTACATTGGGGCAGTCTTTTCCGAACCAACAGGTACCCTACAGAACAAGTGGAAATGTAATGTAAGAAGTAGAAGGAAGAAGAAGACAATTTGACAAACTGGGACAGCTCTTATAACACATTCTCACTCACGACTCGTCACATGTTGACACTTTTCCAAGGTTCCCTCTGCGTCTTGTTTTGACACATCAGGTACACCCGTCACATCAGTTTTTGATGCACCAGGCATTTCCGTGTTCCCTCGGCGTCCAGGTTTGACGCGTTGGGACGCAACATATAGGGGTCTTTGAGTTGGGGTCCGTGGTTAATATTAAGGATCAGGGTTAAGWGTAGGTACTGGGGTCGGGGATAGGATGTCTACGGTGAATATTAGGTAATTTTAGGCTTTGGGACATGTAGTTCACCTGAATTTCCTACATTTTCTAAAAATGGTTAATTTTAGGTACTAGGGTCAGGGACAGCATGTCTACAGTGAATAAAGGTAACTTTAGGATTTGGGACGGTAGTTTTAATGCATTTTCTACACTTTCTGAAATTRTGACAACGGTTTCCACCCCATCTCATCAATAACTGATGCGAGGGGGGTACCCAATTCGTCAAAATCGGACGCAGAGGGAACCTTGGGAAAGCGTCAATATGTGACGACTTGGGAGTGAGAATAAGTTGGCTCTTCACCTGGTCTCCAACACTGAGGTAACCCTGAAGAGGAAGGTAATTCCAGCTGCTTGTATTTCAGTCATGATCCATACAACCATAGGTTAAGGTTGGAGCACAGACAGACCATCTTCACTTGACAGCTCAGCTCCTTCTTCACAACTGCAGATCAGAGGAACCTACTCATTAGGGCAGCTGATCCATCTCCTGCATTGATTCTCTCCTGACCCACAGCATTACCCTTGTTTCTGTTGTGAACCATAGACTCAGACTTAGAGGAGATGGCCCTCATACAAGCTGCTTCACACTTAGCTGTGAACAGCTCCAGTGGTTGGTGAAGGTCATGGCCTGAAGACCTCTAATGGCTATCTGTCCCTATACAACCAAACAAAAGCTGTGTCCACACACATCACATCCTTGACACAAATCTCAGCTTGTTCCTGATATGAATTGTATTCCAACTGGGCTGTGTCTTCTCCAATYCTGCTTGTGGTGTTCATGAATCTCAAGTTGTAGACATGGAGAGGAGGGTGTCTAAGGCCTGAGTCACACTACAAAAAAATCAGGTTGATTTTTGCCCTTCCGACAATCTTAAGGAAGTCCAGATTATCGTGATGATTCTAAAGATAATCCTAGCACATATTCCTGCCGTGGGTGGTGAGTTAAGAGTGATCTAGTCGGCTCGAAAGGACGTCGGGACTGGTCCAACCTCAAATCAAGGATATTCAACATGTTTGATTTTTTGGCCCGATATCACAGTGTGTGTAGTGTTCAACCAAGCTCTCAGCCTGTTGAATGAGACGTGTAGCCAATCAGAAAGAGAGGTGACCTAAACACGGAGGAGAATCCAAATACAGAAGACAAAAAAACTGTCATGACTCAGCAGAAAGTCTGCTGGATGTTAAAAGTTAAATGGAATTGTGTTTCCTCTGGTAAAAATAKTCCACAAATGATCAACATTGTTTCTTCCTYGTYRCAAATGTTAATTTACTCTGAACTCACGTCTCTCTGGAGGTCACGTGAAATTTTTCCTCTGACATCTGAATTCTCGCGTGATTTAATATCTGACATCTGAATCATGAATGAAATATCTTTACATGTGTGGTGTGTTGTCTCTTGCTGTGTGACTGTACACCACACACTGTAGGACCAAACCTGGTAGATCCATGATGTTTTAACCTCACGTGTGGACTCTGTCAGTCTTTGAAAATTGTCTGACTGGTTTAAAGTCTTGTAGTGTGACTCAGCCTTAATTTAGAATCAGGGAAGATAAAATACATTACAGCCTGAAATCTGTATAAAAGCTTATTGCCTTTTGTTGAATTGACCACCAGTGGATGCTCAGTTCAGCAGCCTCCTGCTCTCCCTCAGAGGTCTTTACTTTGGCAGTTCACAGAACAAGAACCGTGTAAGGAAAAAAACATTGTCGATCAGCACAGTACTCAGTGTGAAAAAGGACTATGATTTGTGCAAAGCCACATTAAAGAACTCTCCAAACCCCTGATTCTGTTTGGTCTGTCATCTCTGCTGGAGACCAGGTAGGAGCCCTTAACTGTGGCTTCTTACCCACTGCTTAATCTTACCCACAATCACATTCAGTGACAGGYGCACAAAGCCCAACAAGGCTCTGCTATTATGTAACTAGTGACAGCTGGGCCTTTGAAAGGAGGGGTGAACACCCTGCCTCCATCAGTGTGGCAGCACTTTGTGTCAACCAGACGTGGAAGTCAAGAGAGAGAGGGGGGGTTATCAGACACACAGGCCAGTAAAACATGGGCTGAGTGATGGAGTTCAAACCCAAACAGCAGCTGCACACTAACATTTCTTTATCAAATGTTACGTAAGACTTCTGTGTGTCACCTGATCAAACACATCATCAATACACTGTGAACTTACAAACAGGAAACTSTACACACATGGATATACAAGGTCAGGACATGGCTACTTGACTTATAAGTGTATAAGTGTACACACAATGGTCAGCTTATAAAAGTGGAGTAGTTCAAGCAAAATGCCACCTTTGTGGTCTGAGAACTTTTCTGAACAAACAAACACAAAGCTCTGACCAATCACACAATACCTGGAGCATCTGCCCATGAGATGTAGTTTGGCCCGAGCCTTGTGTCAAGAAACAGTGGGTGAAGCTGGTCTGCGAACAAAATGACACAATTCTTGTCACACAACTGCATCAATGCGAGCCAATTTTGTGGCTTTGAGTGGAGTATGCAGGACCCTTCAATGCTCTGTTGTGTTGCTATTATTACTTTTGTCACTAGAGGGCACTGCTGTGGCAGCAYAGGGCAGAAGAGACAATATGAGAGGAAGAATTTGAGAGTATCATATGAGATACGAGACAAAACTGGTTGTCTCAATTCAGGGGTTGCAGCTGACGTAGGGCACGTTCGCCGTAAGCTGTCCTAACTTGTAGGCGCCTACAACGGATGCAGCTGACGAAACCTTGACGAAACCCTGAAAACATAGGCTGCATCTAAATATGCTGATGATTTCCCAGGATTTATTGAGCCRTCAGCAAACCAAATAGAAAAACGAAGATGGCAGGTTTTTTTCTGGAGAAGTTTTCATTTGTCATCTGTAGCCTGGAGCAGGGGTTTTTACCTTTCTGACCTCGGGGCCCAATTTTTTCAACATAAAGTGACACGAGGCCCAGTCACACATTACCATACGGATCAAAAGGATAATTATTATAAAACTTTGAATAATTTATATTGTATTTGCATCATAACTAAATTAAATATACTTACATTTTAAAAGTAAAACTCCTGTCAAATAATCACAAGACATGATTATAACAAACATTTTTATATTGTAACCTGCCCATAACTATTATTTGAACAAATACAAAGGTCAGTCAACAGACCACTCAGGCTTATCAACACAAAAATAACATTTTTTAACTTAAACAACAACAAAAATAGACAATTCAATAAATAAAATTGTGGGCATAAAATAAATACATTCAAAAATACCAAGTGTAAATGTTCCAAATTAAAAAAACTGTAAAAATAAATTTGATAAAGTGCAAATGAAAATAAAACCATTTTAAACTTTTGCAACCAGCAGCTGCTCTTCATATTAGTGACAAACAATAACAGTAACAACAGCTTTTTGACAAAATGCTTAAAAATAAATTCCAAAAAATTATTTGATAAAGTGCAAATTAAAATATAGTTGTATCTACAACTGTATTTGATAATGCATCAAATATTGCAAGGTAGAACCAGAAGCTGCTCTTCATATTAGTGACAAACTTCAGCTTTTTTTGATGGATTACCTTCAGTTTTTGCTTCTACTTTTCATTTAAAATAAGTTTCCATTCTCAGCAGGTTTCTAAGGTTCTTCTTCTACATATTAAAAAGTTGTTAAACATCTGAGTGGTGCACTACTGCTACTAGTGGTGAGAAAGTGTATTACACCTTATTTAAAATCAATGTGGTCCCACGGCCCTCTGCGGCCCAAAGTTAAAACCTGTTGATCTTTTGAGGCCCTCAAGGTGGCGCTCGTGGCCCACAGGTTAAGAGTCTCTGGCCTAGACCATCTCATTTCACAGCTGTTTCTGCAGCTGACATGGCGGCCTACGGCCCACATAGGGTGTGGTCAATGTGGGCTGCAATCCCTGAACTGAGACACAGTTGCCATGTTCTGTTATGGCATCGTCTCCTATTTTATTACAATTGTCACAACAACTTACCTCTTCTTTTGTGGTTATGAATATAAATATTTGTTTCTCTATATTGTTTTTGGTTAAAGCCACAAAGAGCCACTGCAGTGGAACCAAGGAGCCACATGTGGCCCCAGAGCCAGAGATTCAAAGCCTTGCTTTAGGAAATTGATGAAAGATTTCTCTTGAATACCTGAATATTCTGGTTGCATTCAAACAAATTTAAAAATCGAAACCTCWATGGAAATGAGAAAACACAAGGTTTTAGTGCAAAGTCTTGTAATTTCTTTGAAATGGCGACCATGACATTGAAAACAGAGGCACCTAAACGTTTGAAAAAGCTGCATTGGGCCCCTTTAGGCCCACAAAGCTTTGATGCTGTGAACACACAGAAGAGCCTAAAGGAGCTCAGAACAGCAGGGGGATAATCGACAGACACTCTGTTGATTTTACCATCATTTCCAAATAACTCCCCGTTGTCCCAGGGAAGAATCTGTCACTGATGGCATTCCAGGGCAGCAGACTGGACAGGATGATGGGTCACCATGTAGATCATTTGGATCCACAAAGCCTTAAAGAGATAGCTCAAACATTTTAAGGTGAGGTTCTGTGGAAAGTTATGAACAGCTTGAGAAACTGTCTTTTTTATGAAAACAGTTTGAAGGCTGAGTGGTGAGTAACAGCTGAAATGTGCTGAGTAATGAACTATCTGACTTGTTTAAGGCAAAACAGGCAGAGGCTAAAACCAGCAAAACAGTAATAAAATSATCATAACCACAGCCAAAACCTTACCATTAGCAAAACAGCAGCTAAAAGCTAAAAGAACAGCTGAACAGAAGCTAAAAATGTAAAAAAGTATATAAAATTACTGAACACACAAAACAGACGATCATCACTCAGTCAGTTGTACAAATTTTGTCCTAAATATTAATGTGTTTGTAAATTAGACTTATCTTCAACACATTCTTGTGTGCTAGAGAAACATTGCTGAATGACTGTGTCAGTGGGTAAATGAGAACACTGATTAACGTGATATAAAATACACTCCATTCACTGCACAAGTTTTTTGTGTAATTTTACCATTATCTACTTGATATTATTTATATTTGTTAGCAAACTATTTCAGGAAGTGAATTTTGATAAAAACTCACAGGAAATAATCAGTAAGTCTACATCTATAT